AATTATTTTCATAGACAATTATAGTAACATGCTTACATAAACTCAATTTAAATCACAACAAAAACATTACTATATTTTACTGTAACCATATACATACAGATTATATAAAATATAAAAAAAGCAATAAGAAATATAATCTATCTCGATATATAACTGCTGCAGATAGTAAAAAATCACCTAAACATTCATTATGTCCTACAAAAAGTTTCAAACTGTTAACTTTGTGATTACGAACAATACTTTCCTGTGTAAAACTCCCATTCTTAATTGCCACCACTAAGACTTTTGCAGTTAAAACCTGCCTTGCTACATCAACAGTGTTGAATCACCCTCATTCCCTATATGTTTCTTTGTTAAGAAGGATATTCTCAATAACTACTACTTTGTGGAACAGATTTCTGCATGGATGCTTTCTCAAACACTATAATCTAATCCTTTTCAAGTTAAAGGTCAATTGTTACAATATACTCATAATCTTCACCACATTCATATCACGCATTAATCCTCTACTTTGAGTGGCCCTTGGGCCTTGTATGGGAGAACTTTAGTTAAAAGACTAATGTTACATACCACTTATCTTGTCCTTCACAGGACTGCCATTCTTGGTAGTAATAATAATAATAATAATAGTAGTAATAAAATCAATATATTCTGGATAAACTACAACATTCTTAAGACTGACCTTTTATCTCTCTGAGCTAAGTGCCGTAGGTAAACATGTAACATGGTGCCCTTTTTAATTACCATCAGACTTAAGTTAACAGTACAACAGTGCTCTTCCAATCCAAGTGCAAAGAATGGTTTTAAATCCTGAAAGTCCATCATTAATAAAATTTGTTTCAATCTAAATACACACTTGATAAAATGTCTTTGAACTGTAAGGTCATTTTAACTAAATGAAACTAAAATCTATTCCACAGTCATAGCATTTGAAACCATATTGATGTCAAACTTTGTTAACAACACTACTTTCACTATTTCTCTGTAGCTATCAGACCATATTGCTTTCAAAATGACCAATGAAGGTCAAAAGTACATCGAACATGATATAATTTTTTATAATTATCAACCTGGTATCAAAGGAATTATTCAAGACAAAGAAAAACTGACTCTTTTGCAGAACAAACATTTCTATGTGTTCCATTTAACATGCTTAAATAAATGATTGCTGCCTAAATATACTAGGATATTTATATTTATATATTATATCTATGTGCTTTTATTTTGAATTTTTATCTTGAATTCTCAGATCAACTTCTTGATGTTGTTCACTAAGATAGGCACTGTAGTTTTTTTTTCATTTCTTTTATTTTAACAGTTAATTTTAAAATTAATTATAATGGAGCATATTCATATGTGTTTATAATTATAACAGAGTGTGCTTCATGCAAATTTACAAAAAAAATTCACAACTATCTATTATATTAATTTTTTGTCCTAGTAATTCACCCCTGAAGATGATCTTGGATGAAATTGAAAGTACTTGAGAAAATAAAAGAAATGAAAAAAAACTATGGTGATTAATATTTACATTAAGAAGTTGATCTGAGAATTAGAGAGGATTAAAAATAAAATTACAGAGATATAATATGTCCAGATTATTCAGCTAAACATGCTTGAATGAAGGTATGTGGCCTAAATATATATTAGTAAAAATACATAATACCTCACACGACAGTATAACTCAGTGTTTCATGCCTAATGCAATCTGCACATACTGATCATTGTTTACGGTTTAGTTAATATTTCTGGGTCTTACAAGTTTGTGGTGTTGTTTGGATGAATTATTACTGTTGTTTATATATATATATATATATATGTGTGTGTGTGTGTGTGTGTGTGTGTGTGTGTATTTCAGCAACATATTTTCATTAAGGCAAGTTTCATTAAATAATTAGACATGTTCTGTCTACTTATTCTCAATAAGATCCTTTCATAATCATGAATGAGCTTTTTTGTGTGCTTATTGAAAGACAAGAGGAAAACACCATGTTGGTTCATATTGTATTTATTTCCAAGTACATTTGACATAGCACAATGTCATCATCAGGGTATTGTAAGCTATAGGGTAAGTATTCTAGTGTTCTTGGTTATGGAAGACAAAATTTGTTGTTTTGATGCTGTGGCTAGTGAGCACCAACTAAGGGGAGGTAACAAGGTATTGTTATGAGTAGTCAAAAAATAGAGGAAAGAACTATTAGTATGAACACTAAAAATTAGTGACTATCTACTGTACACATTTTAAAATGTTTGTGAAGTATTCATAATTAATTTTAAGGTTTGGTTTCAATTTTTTGATATAAATAACTTCAAGGATTTTTAGTTTGTGTTTATTCTTTTCTTGGAAAAGTATGGAGGTGTTTTCAACTTGGATTTTTCTGAATTGTGAATGTGGACAGGTATGCTGTTGTAAATGTTTAGAAATGTTGGAGGTGATGTTCAAATGAAGACTTAGCTTACATGAAAGTGTTGTTGTGTATCCAACATAGATGTTATTTTTATCATTGGAGATACAATCTCCCAGAGGACATTTAAATTTATAAACAATGTTGGTTTTCTGCAACACGTTAGTGAGCAGGGAAGAGTCATTACTGCGTTACAGATGATTTTATTAGATATAGTGCAGTATATAACCAATTTTATTTTTTTACTAGGATCTGTGGCAGATGTATTGGTTTTTATTAAACATTTTTAGCATATTTTCATCTTGTTTACAGTTAGCATGCATTTTGATTGCAATATAAGAGATTGAAATAAAATTTATATATATATATATATATATATATATATATATATATACACACACACACACACACATACACTATACTCATCAGTAGATTAAAGAACTCTTTATAATCAATGAACTTTCAATTAACTATTTGTTCAACCATCATGCTTTGTTTCGTTTTTGCTTTTGTCTGAGGTAAGGAATAATCATTATATACTTATTTCCACAGACTTTGGTGCTCAGCTATAATTTTATATTCACAATGTTTTGGTTATATCCCTATCACATATACATTGATTCAGTGGAAGAAACAACTTCAGCAGAATGAAAATACTCTACCTTTGTTGATTGAATAAAGGTTCAGTTAAAAAAAAAAAAAACCCTCAAAAGATTACCAACTATGACAGACAACTGAAGAAGTGTGGAGGACACAACATTTGATTTGTGACAATAAAAACCAAGATGAGGACAGTATTCTGAGGAATTTACTACCACATCACTTTATCACAGACAACATAATTCATTAACATATGCATATGTGCAGTTTTCTATATGTATATACAGGTTGTTGGAAAAAGAGTAGAACTCAGAAGAGAAACAGAGGACCCTAAATAAAGAGAAACTCATTTCTCATGAAATCCCATACTGACAATCATGAAGTCGACGTGAGGTAAAGTTGACCAGATAAACAAGGACCGAAGAGAAACTGTCTTGTTGTAAAACTGGAGCTTCTTCAAGTTGTCAGACTTTTTCCTGCAGCTACCTGTGGAAAAATCTGACTCTGTTCTATATCCATGGGATTTGCTGGACATCAAAGGACATGCCCCCACAAGTGGAAAGTGGCCATGGTTAAATGTAAATGGCAGAACTGCTCAACAACAACAAAAAAATTAACAAAGTTTGTAATAAACAATAACAAGAAAAGAACAAGGTCAAAAATAATATAAAGCAAGCAAATAATATATGCAAGATAAAGCAATAGTAATAAGAATTCACAAACTAAGAATTGGTGTTGATTCACAAGAGTGAATTTGGATGAATGAACATAGTGTTCTGATTTCAAGAAAAGACAGACTGGGATTGATTCAGATGTGAGCAAGAAGTGGCCTATTTTATTGGCCAGGAAGTAATCCCAGCATGTATTTGTATGGTTTTGTCTATAAATTTAGGAGGGGGAAGTATTTTGCAATCATTCACAATTGAGAAAATTGGATTAATTCAGCAAGCATGTTTGCATTCTTTTCACTGTACTCTCCATCATTGGGATGATCAAATGGTGCCAAGATTGTTCTGTGTAATTTTTAGATTCTCATGTATCCTAAAAATTTCCTTTCCCATAGTTCATATTTTAATTTGACATCATTGAAACAGAGTCTATTCCTAGGCTCATAGCCTGAAGCGTAAGTGTAGCTACTTACTCTACCAACTCTTATTCTAAATTTTTACTCATGGAGCCAAGCAATGATGTGTATGCTTGCATGCATGTCTAAGCATTTATCTATCTCTTCTGAGACATGGAGAGGTTCAGCTGTCTGTATTTGTAACAGTAAGTATGCATATGTGTACATATATGAATTTTCTCTTTTTATGGCTTTGGTGGTTGAAAATTATCCAAGGTTTTCTCTGGCAACTATAGTTAAGTTCATACAGAGTTAAAAACAAACATTAGATGATGATTTTCTCAGCAGGCAAGATCACTCTATATGGAAGATTGATACAACAAAATGTTCTTATATCAATAACAGTCAATATATTCATGGTTTTGCAAAATCTGTGAAAGACACATACAAAGGTTATATATATATATATATATATATATATATATATATTATCTTACCATTCTATTCAAAGGTTGATAATTGGGTATATTCAATCTATATACATTTGTTGGTATACTGTTTAGTTAAATACAATTTACATTTTGCAAAGCACTGGTACATCTTTCTGTATCTATGTTTGTTCATAGCATCATACATTTCCCAATTTGTATATGTTCTATCAAAGTTCATTCCTGTATGTAAGTATGTATCTTCAGAAGCTATTTAGAAAGAGGCAGACAAATAGGTAGGCTGTGTTCTTCTTATCAGCTTCCTAACACACACACACACACACACACACACACACACACACACACATTTATTTTTTTGCTACTTTAACAGAGTCCCTGATGGTAGACGGCCGATGAAGATGCAGCAGACCACAAATGAGACGACTTACAAATTAATAATGACACTTCTTCTTTCAAGTCTTTTTAAAGCCTAGCATATTGATTTTAACGAGAAAGGTGTAGGTGTAGGTGGATAGGGAGGGGGTGTGTAAGGATGTGCAATATACAGAGGGCAATATAAGAGAGAAAAAACACTGGCATGAGATGAAAGTGGGGGTGGGGTGGGCTGGGAAAGTAGAAAGTGTTAGAAGGAAACGGAAGGAGTCTTCCAGCCACTATACCTTCATGACATTCTAAATGAGAATAGAGAAAAGGTGGGGAGGATGTTAGAAGGGGAAAGAGTTGGAGGGGAGGAGGAAGCACAGGCGAAGATCAGGAAGATGTTCTGAAGTTAAAGTGTGACTGAAAGAAGGTACGACAAAGAGAGAAATATGTAAAAAAGCAAAGAGAAATAAGAAAGGGGTAGAAGTTCATAAAAATAATAAGAAAATTAAAATAAAGGTTAACAACAACATTAACAAGCAGTTTGAAATGGGGAGGAAGAGCAAGGAATGAAAACTGAAAGAAAGGGGGTTGGAAGAAATGGTTAAAGGTAAAAACAATATAATAAAGGAATGAAAAAAGAATGAAAATGAACAAAGAAATAGAGAACTAAAAGAAAAGAAGAAAAACAAAAGAATTAATACAAAAAGAAGTGTGAGGATAAATAAGAAAGGGAATAAAGAGATATGAAAGGAGAAGGTGAATGAGAATAGAGAAAGGGAAGATAAAATAGAAACAAAAAAAATGATGGAAAAAAAAAAGAGAAACTGGGGGAAGATAAGTTAAGGAGAAATTACTGAAAAAACAAAAATTATGATCAAATCAAAATAAGATGGAAGAAGTTGAAGAAATAGCGAATACATGTCATCGTAGGCTGAAGAAATCTCTAAGTTGACAATGAAGATTCAAATGAGTGCATAGCACCTAACAAGGCAAGACTGAACCAATATCGACAGACTTGATGCCAAGTGTAGGAACTGGCCAAGTATCCTGCATCTGTTCTTTCAAGTTGAGGGTCTGCCAAGAGCTTAGCTATTGTGATCATGTCTTCACTTTGAGCTTAAGAGAGGACAAATGGAAAAGACACACACACATACATACAAATGCATAAATAATTGGTAAAAGTAAAAACCTTGCTGGCAGATCCACTCATAGAAAATGAAAGAGAATGAAAAAAACAAAAAAGAATGGATGAAAATGTTTTGGAAGAAAGTACAATGATAAGAATAAAGATAAAAACAATGAAGAAAACAGTTAAAATAAAAAAGAAAAAAAGGCGGTGAGAAGAAAGCAGGATGGCACAAAAAAGCAAAGAGGAAGTAGTCAAAAGAATTATCAAGATAAAAAAAGGAATAAAAAAAAAAGTGAAAATATGGAAAGAGAAAAAATTAGAGAAAAACAAGGAAAAGATATAAAAAGAGAAAAGAAATGATGAAGAAAATATGCAAAGTAAATATAGAAAGAAAAACTGAAAGAAAAAACGTTGAAATAAAAGGCTAATAAATGTGGGCAAAAAAAAAAAAAAAAAAAAAAAAAAAAAAAAAATTAAAAAGGAAAATTAAAAGCATTTTCCAGGATAGAAAAAGATAACAGAAAAGTGTAAAGAAAAGAAATAAAATATGTTGAAAAAAAGAATGAGAAAAGGAACGAAACAAGTACAAGAAGACAATCTAGAAGAAAGACAAGTAAAAGAAAAAAAAAAAAGAAAAATAGATAGAGAAATAGAAGTAAAAACAAAAAAAAATTAAAAAAGAACAGAAAAGAAAGAGAAATGAATGGGAACCAAGAAAGTATGGGAGAAAAAAAACAGGAAAGACAAAAATTCTTTTCAGAAACAAATAAAGGAAAAAATATTAAAAAATGTATTTAAAAAAATAAATGAAATACAAATATACATAAAAAATGAAATAAAAACAATACAGTATAAAAAAAAAGATATCATCCATGACAAACCATTCTGATCAATCTGTCCCCTCCACCATGACGACAACAACAACAACATCAGCACTCAAAATCGATCCTTCCCTGCTCTTCATCACAGTCAATGAGGAATCTAGTCAATGACTTCTAAATCTCATCCCACCCAATTTCTTCCAAGACTCTTCTTTTTTTGAAGAATCACCCACAAGACACAGAAGCAAAGATCAAACCAAAACCCTCTACATAAGTTTACCAGAGCTCCCCCTACACCAAATGTAGAACATCAAAAAACACAAGAACAAAAAAGATAAAAGAGAAACAACTTCAGTCATCAAATATTCACTATCGACCAAAAAGAAAAGAGATGAGAATACCTTCAAGCAATGATGGGCAACAGACCAGCTAACCTTTTCCTGCCTGAATTTTAAGACCTTTTTTTTTTTTTTTTTTTTTTTTTTTTTTACTGTGAAATAATAGATAGATAATGGCCATATTTTAGCTGTTTCAGCCAGGTTCTATCATTTAAATAAAGGTCCTCATAAAATAAATACAAAAATATGATAATAAAGCAACAGATAATAAGGACACATTTTATTTGCAACATAACGAATTCTCAGTCTAGCTGTGTTCAATGCATTTATAGTTAAAAGAAATTAAAAAAAAAGTTAGTCTCTCCAGAAAATAGAATACAAGTGCAAAACATGAAAATTCACTGTTGCATTTTGATGATTGTGAAATAAACAATTCATACATTTTAATAATAAGAAATAAAAAGTTATAATTTACAAAAAAAAAAATCATTATTTATAGTTCAAAATTGTCTGTTCAATTTACAAGACTTGATGAAAAAGATACATTTCAAAACTTCTACCAAACTATAAAATTTATTAAATTTCATGCCTTGCTGTAGTATGTAATGGTTAACAAGTTAGTATCACAAATAAATTAATGGTTTATGGTTAAATAAAGTAATGGTTAACAAGTTAGTATCACAAATTATTGCTAATGGAGTGAATATGATCCTGAGTGCTTCACACTGGTGGGCTAAACTAATTTAAATAATCACCACATTGCTATTCTTCTTCACTTGACTTTATTAACATTAATTTATGGTATAACCTGAAAAAGCAACATCAAATGGTCAGTGGTTAAATACAGGTTGATATCTTGTTTTGTTTGCTTTAGGGTTTGGGGTTTTGTCAACCAGTGTCCATGAATCTAAAAAAAAAAATGTCCAGGCATTAGTTATAATTTACCAAAAGTAATTTTTTTTTCACTATACTTATTTGTTCTAGAGTAATTTTGATTTCTTGTTCTTGGACTCTTCTTTTGTTCTGTACCAATCTCTCACTTGGATCCAACACATTGTCATGGTTTTACTATTTACCTGTTTCTTAACCTTATATAAAATGTACCCCTTCCTTATTGATTATAAATTAATTATAAGCATTTGATTATTTTGATAGATATTTTTCATAGGTATATTAGAAATTAGTATCTACTGTAACAAATTCGGAAACTATGACCACCAATTTCCTAGACCATTATAGCTATCAATAGTTAAATACTGATTGTGAAAAGATTTGAAATTTTTTAAAGGTTTGGGCCCATATTGATCAGTTTGTAGAACTTTGGTTACAGAAGGTCACATGCTTCACTTTGAACCACCCCACTTACACTTGTATAGTTTCAATTGAATTCTTTGTACTCACAATGCTTTTGTCAATCTACACCTCATTAGGAAATCAACGGCTAATGAAATAATGGAAGCAAAGTTATATATAAGGCATTTATTATAATATTTACTTTATAAAACTGAAAGAGTATCATTTTCAGTCAGTCTATATTCGGAAAATAATCTAAGATGAGCAATGTAAAAATAGCAATGCCACTCATGTTCCTTGTTCACTATTATTGATTATGTCAAAACATTTTTGCTATTTTTTTTGTGGTATGTTCAAAGAAATCAGTCACAAGGTAAACTTATACATTAGCGAACACAAAAAAAATGTTAAAAAGATAAATTAGGGAGTGGGGAAATTGAGCAGAGCCAAAATTTTCAAATATATAGGGAAAAAAAAAGAAAACAACAGTAACACTTTAAAAATATTTCCAAAGAAAATATTAAGAGCAAAACATGAGAATGTATAATATTAGAAGTCAAATAATAATAAAAAATAAAAAAAAAATTTAAAAAAAAATAACTGTAATGGGAAGGGGAGATAATCAGTAAGAACAAAGGGGAAATAATTTCAGCGAATAAAAACACAAATAGATAAAAAACAAACTGGACAGTGATACTGCATATCTTTATTGAACTTCTAAAAACATTAACAAGGATTTTTATGACAGATATTTGTCTTTAGAACAGCTTATGATAAAGCAATCATGTGACTAAACATTTCTCAATGTTTAATAAACAGAAATAATCCGAACTCCATCATTAAATGAGTTTTTTTTTAAATAAATTTTTATCAAACTTGTCCTGTGCACTATTTGATATTCATTTGCTTTAACCTCATAAAGACAATGTTGTTAAAAGTTCTCAAAGAAAAACCTATTATAAATAAAAGGTCTGATAAAAAAGAACAAAAGCACAATGAACAATATAAAAAAATTGAAAGAGAAGTTGATAAGAGAAATAGAAGAACTAAAGATAAGAAGAAGAATATATATGTGTGTGTGTATATATATATACACACACACACACACACACAGGTAGGTAAAAAAAATTTTGAGAATGCAAAATCTTGAGAAAGAGTGAAAGTGATACTTGATTAGATTAGTGAAAAGTCACGGCAATAGCTGCAATATGCCAATACCTACAGAATAGATCTATGTCTGTAATTAGAAAAGCAGTTACAATTTTCTTTTTACTGAATCTTGCTTCAACATCTTTATTATTTTTATCTTTTACATTGTTTTATTTTCAAAGAAAACATCTAAGACTTCACTTCCTTCTCCATTAAAAAAAATAGGTGAAAAGAGCAAAATAAAAACCTTAAAATCAACAAAATAACAATGAAATGCCCAAACCTAACAGTTGGCATTATTCTTGTACTTCCTTCAAGTTTTTATTTTTTTAAATCATTATTCCCCAACCATCATTTTTTTTTTAAAAACTATTCTATTTCTCTGTTCTGACATATTTTTTCTTGCAAATTTTTGTATTATTTTCTAATGATTGTTTCTTCTTCCACTTTCTTTCTTTCTGTTTTCATTTCTTTCTTTCTGTCTCTTACCATCTTCATTTTTTCTTTCTCTTACCGACTTCATTTCTTGCTTTCTCTTATTGTCTTTCTTTCTCTCTTACCATCTCCATTTCTTTTTTGTTTGTCTTCATTTTTCTTTCTGTTACTGTCTTCATTTCCTTTTTTCTCTGTTTCTGTTTTCATTTCTTTCTTTCATTCTGTTCCCCCACCATCATGTTTTTTTTTATTTTTGTTCCTTTACTTTTCCTTTTTTACCTATAACTTCATTCATCTGCTACCTTTTCTTCCTTCTTTATGTTTTTCTTTCATTCTTTATGTTACTCATTTTTTCACACATTTTAACTGCTCATTTTATTCTTCCTTTTTCATCATAGGAACAGTACTACTACTACGCTTTCTTCACACCATTCCTCTTCTTTGCATTTTCATTTCTTTCCATCTTTTTAGATCATTAACCATTGCAGATCTATCATGGTAAAACCATCTTTTGGCAATACACAAATCAAGTGACTATGAATCCTTTGTAATAAATATGCACTTTTTTCCTTTCTCTATATTTTTCATGTTAGCATGGCTGCTTTTCTTCTGCCACCAATCAGCTTTCTCACTGCCTGTCAGTCTAATATAATAGATATGTGCAGCAATCTCTTTTGCAGAAAGTGAACTCAAGTAAATGATCAACCACAGCAAGCATGAACACTATCAGCAACAGTGTCAATGTCAATTATCAAATATACACATTTCACCATAATTGCCATCATTAGTATTTTCATAATTGCAACCACATTATCAAGCAATCCTATCAAAATTTATCATCACTTAAATCAATATGATTGTATCAGCATTATCATTTTTTGTTTACTAATCTCATATTACCACAACTGTTAGCACAATATTCTCAAATCTTTATGAACATACATATCACTATTACGATAAGGGTGACTATCAGAGCACAATGGTTAGCTAAGTTGGTTTGCAGAAACAAGTGTAATGAGTTCATCTCTGTGTGCCACAGTACTGCAGTGTTGTACCAGATTAAAATACTATTATATACTAAGGTAATAACTACTAAGAAGAGCAATGAAAATTTCACAGTTTTCCTATTTTAATTTTCTGCTGAATCTTAATTCTTAAGTTAATGATTAAGTTAACTTTAACAAAATATTACAATAACAATCATTTATATATCTTAAGAAGTCGGTACAAATGAAAAGAGTTGAAACTGACAATTTTTTTCCATTTCTTCTATCTTTTACTCCTTCATTTTCTCACTGAAACCAAGTAGCATATGTTTCTTGTTTTTCTACACAATCATCTGTTAAATGCTTTTATCTTTCTTTCTAGCCAAATCCCTATCTTACAAACATTTCTCTTAATAATTTAAAAATAAACCAGTAAATGTTATTTTATTTTTCATAATTGCCTTACTCAGTTTTCATCATTTGATACTTTGCACTTGAAAAATAGCGCTTTTATCACAGTCAACATTGTTTCTCTGACTTTTGGCTAAGATAAAATTATGGTATATGTGCTTATCAGCTTAATCTGATTTTCTTTCTCCACTTCTATCTTCTGTTTTTTCTTTCATTTTCTCACTGAAACCAAGTAGTGTCTTTTCCCCTCTTTCCACATGATCAAAACAGAATAGTCTATTATTTATGCTGTATTGGCAGACTGTAGAGTCATGTGAAG